CGCAAACGAAGAGAGAGAGAGAGTGAGAGAGAAAGAGAAGCTTCACAAGCCGGCTCGTATTTCTCACCCTCCAACAAGATACCAACCACCTTCGACCCCATCTCCTCGCTTCGACGAGCTTCTACACGCTCGCATACACGCGCTTTCTCATTTCAAACGACACCCACCCCCGCCGCTTACTCGTTCGGTAAGTTGGGCCGGTGCAAACGTCGTAACACTGCAAGTGCTATCTGACTAACCATCGCTGATCCTTGCCGACTAAGGTTTATTGGGGGAAGCTCAAGGAAGAAAGAACAGGCAGAAAGGGTAAACTAAAAGTCACTAGAATATAAACCCCCGTACCGAGAAATCAACCGATACTACTTTCTATCTGATTTTAAGTTTTACTTTTTATATCGTTTGTCCATCTTGAAAATTTTTTATTTATTTAAATATTGTTTACAGATTTATTGCTTATCTGATTGTACGATTTCCTTTGTGTGTTTCTTATTTGATAGAATAAAATATAAAATATATATATTATTATATATATATTTCTTATATATGAGATTTAATTTAAATATAAATTTGGAATTGATGTTTTTCAAATTTCTATGTCATACACCATTGCATTTGATATATTTCATATATCATGAAACTATTATACTGAAAATGAAACTTGTTTGAACTTCCTTTACCATTTTATTTTACGGTTGAACCAACTACGATAAAAAAAAAAAACTAGAAAAAGAAATAGGCCCGGGGTCATGAACCAACATATATCGACAATCAGGATGCAACGTTCGATCGCAGAGGATAGTGCATGGCCTCCTCAAATATTAGCGGAGGATCGCGGGCTTCCCTTTGAACGAAAATCCCCGAAACTTCAATGGCGAATAATCGGAGACAGCTGGCTCGATGCGAAATCAAGTAGCGTAATAATACCTAGGTCTCTCCGACATTCAAACAGATAGAGATAGAAAAAAAGAAAAAAAAACGAATGAGAGAGAAGGAGACAAGAAAACGATGAGAACGAAGAAAATGAGGGTGGTGATTGTGGTGGTGGTGGTGGTAGTGGTGGTTGTGGTGGTACTGTTCGCTTCGAAAAATCTTTTCTTTTCATAAAGACATGATGACATACATATACTTTATATAAATCATACTAAACGATGCATTTACATAACGTATTTCAACAAATTTGACAATTATTTATCTTATAAACAAATTTGTATACTCTAAAACGAAATGAGGGTGGAGGGTGGTTGTTCACATTTGATATAAAATGGTAACTACAATTCTTCAAAATTATTTCAAGTATACTGGTTAAATATCTGACCCTATCAAAAATATTATTTCACACTACAACGAGATATTGTATAATAATTATAACCTAACTATGATTTCAGTATTATTCTTATTCGTCTTATGAACAAATTTGGATACTAAAACGGATGGTTCATGTTTGATATAAAACTTTACTACATTATCAAAAATGATTCCAACTGAAAGGATTAAAGTATTTAACCGTATAAAAAAAATATATATCATAAAATATAATTCTTAAAAGAAAATAAAGAAAATGATTATTTCATACATAAACGAGACATTTTAATTCGAATTCGCCACGAGACGAATTCAAGGAGTGTTATAAAAAAAAATGTGTCTTGTTATCTTTTTTCTTCTTCTTTGCTCAAACATATACATATATATAAATATATACATACATGAAAGTTTGTAAAGATTGGAATAAAATATAGGTGATAAGTATCATCACCGTTAAATAATCCTGCTTTTAATAATAACGAGTTTAGTATTGGATATAGTTATGTGACGTATAAACTTATACTATCAAAATGAAGTACATACGTTCGATGACGTGTCAATAAAATTTGGGTTTAAGTTAGACCTTTAAAGGAAGGATAAAACAGCCTTTTTTCCGTGTAACCGGCTGCTCCAGCCAATAAACCGATATCTCGTTTTTAAAAATATTTATTCGGCCATATCTCGAACGGTGTGAGTGGTAGCTGGCCGTCGGCAATTAATGTCCTTCTTCTTTCACCTTTCATTCTTTCTTTCTTTTACTCGTCCTTCTTGATCCTTCTTCTTCTTCTTCTTTTAAATGTTGACAGACATTCGAATAAAAGATCCACGATCTGGCGATAGGGAGCATGGTAATCGCGTGACTCGTTGAAAAATTGTACGAAATTTTATTTCTTTCATTTTTGTGTGTGTGTTTATTTTTATTTTTTTCAGCCGTCGTAGATTCGTCAGGTGCCCTCGTAACGTTCCTTGGCAAATTTGACGCCTCCTCGTTACCCGTCGCTAACGTCTGCCATTGCCATATTTTTAGTTTTATTTTATTTTATTTTATCGTTTATATCGTTATTCGCACGTTCTTATTTTAGATTATACAGATGATACTTATACACAGATGATCTCTTTCGTAATATTTATTTTTTATTTTTCAATATTGACTACAGACAAATATTTCATTTATATTATAAAATTACAATGATATCAATTTAATGATTAGCTTTTTATATTTTTTTAAATTATACATTCAAAAAAAACAATAATAATAAGAAGATCTTATTGGGATATTAATCGTCGTAGAAGAAGGCGAACGCCCTGTTTCCAAGTGTTTGTACGAGCTTTCAAGAGGCTGCAACACCCAAACCATCTTACAACGAATGCCTTTCCCTCCTACCAACGAACAACCCTTCCTTCTCCTCCCCCTCTTATTCACCACCATCTCTTCCTCCTTCTTTCAAACGCAACGAAACACTACACAAGAGAACCCTCCTCCCCACCTCCCTATAAGTTTTAACCGTTCCCTCACCTCACCCTTTTTCCTTTTTATTATTATTTTTTCTTTCTTTTTTTTTTTTATTTCAAGCAGGCGACACTCGAAAGGCCTACTACCCTGAGTTTAGTTTACTGCTTGACAAGGACAACTGCAACGACTATGACGAATACTACTCCGATACTTTCCATAGTACTTGAAGGCCATTCTTTTCAATATGCATTTGTGTTATGTATTTATACATATATGTATATGTATAATATACGCTTGTGTGTGTGTGTGTGTGTGTGTCATACACTTACGTAGTTTTGTTCTATGTAAACGTGTATGTATATATGGAAAATGTATCGGTGTTGTGTGAACATAGCTGAAAAGTTGTTGTTAGCCGTGTATGTTCGTTCGATGAATCTCTCCTTGAAAATAATAGGTCGTTCGATGGGCATCGTGTTTATAAAACATAGCCAAACCGAACTAATTGTTCGCTAATTTCCAGTGGCACTACAGAACTGCCGTTCCATTAACAATCCTCTGAGCACTGTACCAACTATACCTATATTACATATGTCGTACGTTTCTTTTAGGGGTTACAAGACAAGGATCTAAGTCTTTTTCTTTTAAACGTTTTCCCTTTCCCTTTTTTTCTTTCTTTCTTATTTTTTGATATTTGGATTCTTTTGTAAACATTGACAAACGTATTTATATATTCTTTTCAAAGTGTTTATATTAGACTAACAGGATGAAGTTCATGGATGCATCTTTCACATGCATTTGTTAAGAACTCAACAGTTAATTGTGTGTGTGGAAGTATTAGAAATTTTGCGAAATTTATTTAAAATTGATTAAATAATATAAATAATGTAGATAATAATAATAATAATTTTATAACTAATTTAGATTATTTTATAAAAATATAATAATTTTATAGTATTTTGCACAATATTTCAATAATTATATGACTTGCTTCCGTATTCAAAAAAATACGAGTATAATAAATTTATTATATTATATATGTGTAAGCTTTGTTTATATATTGTACGTTTATATATCTACGGTTATACTTGAGAGGTTGACTTAACGGATGAGTGGTTTGAAAGGAGAGAGTAGAATATTAGAGCAGAAGAGATATAGACAAGATAGATAGAAGGGTTTATTTCTAGCAGCTGATTGCGGTACACCTTTTTAAAAGAATTTAGGAAATATTATGTATGTATATAATATTATAATAATATTAAAAAATAACAAACTTACACACTGTAACATTATAATAATTATATAAGTAGATTACACGTGCAAATACGAGTATACATTTGATAATTTATAATTAATTATTAATAATAATTATTAAAAATGATTATAATCACGATTAATTAAGAAAAAAATCTAAAGAAAGAAAGAGAAAGGAAAAAGATATTAAGGAATAGTTCCTAGTCGATTAATTTAAAAGTATTCATTCATCTTATTGGTAAAGGATTCTAAGAACTCTTTGGGCCATTCGACTTTATCAAACGCGTCGGGTGATTTAATCCCTTTTTCTCGAGTTTAAGGACAAGGAGAGATTCCATTATATAATCCCTGTTATATCCAATTAAGAAATCTGGCTAATTTTGCTAAGCTGGGTGATCCCATAATTCTCACTTAATTCTTCTTTAGTTAGCTTTGTGTCTGAAGATTCGTAATGGCTAACCTTCTTATTTAGCTTATCGGAGATTATTCAGAGAAAAGTTCTCTTTTTTTTTTTTTTTTTTACAGTATTGTACAGTGGAACAAAATTACAAAAACTCATTTCTCAACATAGTATACAAATTCTTATTATTATATTCACTTGAAATATGAAACCTAATAATATTTACCCTTAATATGATCGTGAACTAATTATTAATATTTTTGTTACATTTAATTCATAATTTTATCCACTGTGTATTTTGATTATTTAACAAAAAGTTTCCAATATTTTATTGATACTCAACTTTATTAGATTAATTATCTTTTAATATTCTAATTAAAAAATAATTATCTGAACGATTTTTTTTGCAGCAAATATTAGTAGAATTTAATTCCTGGTACTAACAAACTTTATTTTCTTGATAAAATACAAAAAACAGGACGAATATTTGACCTCTTTTTTAATGTTTACCTAGATAGAAAAATAATGTGACAAATAGATGTAACAATCGTAGACTTATTTAAGAAATATAAGATACCTATCGTAGGTACTTACAAAATTAAAGAAGAACCGGCAAAGATCCGACGAATTTTGATTGCACAACGCCGTCGTGATCACAACACCATTCCTCTCTCCCCTAACGTCGGACACTTTCATCAATCCAAAAATCGTCTTGTCAAAGGGGTTCCTCGATTCCAACGAAGTTTTCAAGTTTAGACGATTCCGAGGAATAGAAGCGATCGAAGCAATCAAATATCTTCTCTTCGAACGTTGTAAGTTTATAACAAAACAAAAACAAAATTACAGTTTTATAGGCTTATATATTTTGTATAGTTAATAAATAATTGCACGTATAGATTCACGACATCCTCAAAATTCATTCCAGGATCAGCACGAGGGTTTCAACGTTCGATCTCGCACGATATTATTTTCAAAACCATTTCGATCTTTCATCTCCGATCTTTCACTTATCGAAAACAAATCAAACGTTCTTCTGTCTCTCTCACAACTTCACTCTAACGATTTAGTTTTCTCAAAAAAATAAAACATACAAGAGAAAACATAAATCTCTTCTTGATATCAGAAGATAAATAACAAAAAAATTAATAATAATTAATTATCAGACATTCACAAACAACAGAGTTTCTCGTTCGAAAAATTTCAAATCTTCTTTTTTATCTCACCGGTATACGAAAGAACATGAAAGAAGTAAACAAAAAAGAAAAAGAAAAAATAGGTTAAATCAGTCTTTCGTTGTGAAAAAAACGAAATGTTAAATCCGAACTTGGATGTAATATCCGTGGTGATAGGAATGAATCGTACGTATAAACCAAACCGGTGAATCGTCGGTTAGAAGAGACGACGACTATTACGTGTGTGTGTTCAGTGCCCGCTGCCGAGAACTCAAACGAGCTTTTCCCCAGGCTGGCTGCGACCGCCGCTGGTGTCGTTGGTGCTGTTGCTGCAGCCGATGGTGGTGGTGATGGTGGTGGTGATGGTAAAGGGAGGCCGAGGATCTGAAGGAACATAAAATGGGGCGGTGCAACGGGCGGAGCAACCAACAACAGTAGACCAGGACAGCACGCCTACCCGTGGTTGCTCGACATCCGTCTGCCCTGTGTGACACCCTCTTACTCTCATTCCATCTATCTCTATCTGCTTTGCCTCCTTGCCATCATCGCTTGTTCTTCTTCTCTCTCTTTCTCTTTCTGTCTGTATGTCTGTCTGTTTGTATGTCTGTCTTTCTGGGAACGAACTCAACGAGAGGTGACACCGAACGCGCCGACGTCAAAAGTGCAGGCAACCGACCAAAGTCTTAACCTTTTCTTTTGGATTTTTTTTTATTTTTTCTTTGCCTTTTTTTTTCTTACTTATTTTTTTCCTTTTTATCTTAAGAATTTTCATCATCCTTCTGAACTGTGACACAAAAACTCGAAAGAAGTTAGGTTCCTCTCTTTATTTTCAACGTAACCGATCTTATCTGTTTTCGGTTCTTCTCGAATTATCGATTAGACATGACGCTGTTAACCATGTTTTACCCCTTAAATTACAACTGTTCCAATCACAGTTCTATTTACACATACAAACAACAAACAAACACACTGTACAGATATACGGGCACGTATACATATATACACAGACAAATTGTTTGGAAAAACTTTCATACGTATTTATATGCATATTATTTATATAAAATATGCATCAAAAAATCGTGTAAGAATAAAAGAGAAATAGGAAAACCATTAGAGGAAGTATTGCTCGTTAAATCTTGTTATTTGAGAGATAGGGAAAGGAGTTAACGCGTATGTGTGTACATACTCGCGCGAACGCGTGTACGCTTATTAGGAAGATATTTACTTGGAAATCGTCGGGGTGAAAGGTGAAAGCCTTTGAAAAGGCGGCTCTAAGGGGCGAATTGCGTACCCGATCAACAGAAAGAGACAGAGGGATGAACAGAGTGGGGGAAGGATAAAGAGGAATAAAAAAAAAAATAAGAGGACGAAGAGTAGGAAGAGGATGAGGAAGAGGAGGATGAGGTGTAAGAGGAGATGATTTCGAATCGAGAGGTCGACGAATGGGATCGCGAATGAATAGGGAGTATGGATTCGTGAAGAGCCAATGGGGCTGCACGATGTCCTCCCTGCTTAGCGACGACCACGCCAATCGGAGGGCGTTTTCCACCCCCGATTCGTTTCTTCCTTCCTAGAGGGTGCTGCTCCTGCTGGTTTAATACTTTGCCAGTAGCGAAGGGTGGTTTCAGGATGGTTTGAGGGTGGTTGCGAGGCGTAGTCGCGTTACCTTTTGACGGCTCTCTCTCTCTCTCTCTTTCTCTTTCTACCTGTGCTCGTTCCGTTAAAGACGACGGAGTTTGCTAAATATGACAGAAAGAGACAGATATATTTGTGAGAGAGATCTTTGGTAACAGATATCAGAGACAGCCAACGAAGTTGGCTGCAGCACACCTTCTTCTTCTTCTTCTTCCTATCCTCCATCTTCTCTCCACTTTCATTCACTTACACCCACTCTCAGTGACAAGGACGCAGTCGATGCTCCGACGCCTTTTCTTACCTTGTATTACGCTAACCCCTTCTTATTTTCTCTTGATTCTACCCTATTTCATCCATCTATACTTCATTTTTTACTTTTATTCATTATCAACGTATTATCTAAGTAGCTTGGCATGAGAAGTGATACGTTAAATATGATTTTTACAAATGTATGAAATTTGTTCTAAAATCAATTAATATAACATTTTATTTAATTATTTTATTATCGTTACTTTCTTTTATTTTCATTTAAATTGTATTTCGATCAAAGTTTAGATTGAATTTCGTCGACTCGAAAGATAAGCATAAGTTCGTGTGAAGATAATTATTATGCAATTACTTTGAAATTATAAATACGATCCTATGATTATAATCATTTTAGTCAATGATTTATTTTGATTATCACTCAAGATCCAAATTTAATTTAATGTGAAATATCTTGGTCCTAATGGTATTCGTCTTTTATTTTATTTTTTTTTTTTAATAGGGTGACACCACTAACAAACGGGGAAGTTTTGTTCGAGATAGACAGCCCTTAGAGAAGAGGAGACTTGTTTTATTCGTTGTTGTTTGCCCCGCGACAAGTTTGGCGTCGATGCACGTGCCCTGCCATATGACAAGCGTGCTCGATACCTATGGCGTCGCACGCAACCACTCGAAAGACAATTCGAACTTCTAAATTCAAACTCATCCACGTGGAGCTCACGATGAATTGGATTATACTTACATACGTAGCTACGTGTGGATGTATTTGTTCTTCAACTTATTCAAACACCTCGAGTATACTCACGTATATATATGCTATATACAATATTTAATATTATGAAAATTTAATATATATATATATATATATATATATACATAGATATATATATAATATTCTTCATCAAATAATTATTTTTATTAAATCCTACAGTTTTCATAGTATCAGAATATTGAACGGAAATAATTCTTTTTTTTTATGGAGTAGATAAAATCTCGCTAACACGTTTCTACGATAACTTTCACGTACTATTCACTATTTTATATTCGTGTTATACATGTAAAAATATTTTTACTCATTAATGACAATCATCAATCCGTCAGATTTAATTATTCCAATATTTGCGTTATATAATAGATTTAATAACATTTTTAAATGAATCAATTTATTTGAAATTCCAAACGAAATAATAATACCTACATATCAAAAATTGTTTTATCAAATTTCAATGGAATCAATTCGGTTATTTGGTTGATTGTTCATTTTTAAGTATAAACAATGTATAAACAAATACTTTATTTAAACAATCTTTTGAATTGGTTTAAAAATTTCAAATTGTACTTTTAGTAATGATAAACAAATTCTGAACTAAATTTGGTTATATTTAATATTCCAAATTTAAATCTTAATTGAACAAATTGTAATGATTAAATATTTGATGAAGAATATTTTTTTAATAAATAAAAGTAATTTTAATTGAAAAAAGAAATTTTCTACGTTAGACTAAAAACTGTACAATACATCCACGTATTAGTTCTCTTTAAATTTTTATCAAAAATTTTATTTTTATATTTATAATACTCTGTGCAATTATGCATATTAAAAAACTGAATTTATAAAATATCCTAATATTTGTTCAAATTAATTTGCTTGTAAACAAAAGTTAAAACACAACGTAGAACAAATGAAAAAAGGAAGACTCCTAATAATTTGATCCAGATCTTCAAACAGTATTTAATAATAATAATAATAATAAATTCTATTTTATTAATCAATTAAAAGTTATAAATACGTAGCAACAATTATTAATAATTGTCACGTATAAAAACTTTTATCTTCTTAACGAACGAAATATTTATACACATAAACACGTGCAAATATATTTATATGAATATCCATGGTGTGAGTGTGAGCGGGAGTTTAATTAAAAGCTTTTTTTGTCCTAATTTCAAAGCTAGGAAGGAAGAATCACGGAAAGGGTTGGGGAGGAAGGATATAAAAATTCGGAAGGAAGAAAGGATTGGATCGAGTTATCCATTTTTTTTTATCTCTTTTCTTTTTTATATTATTATTTATTTCTATTGATCTCTATCTATATCTCTTGCAAAAGCTCGTTCTCTTTATTTAGATAAATTTATCCCTCTCTCTCTCTCTCTCTCATGTAAATCACCACTACTCTAGGGAACTTGCCTCGGACACAATCTATATCGGTTTACAATGATAAAAAGCAAACACGGGAAATAACGCGAGGAATTACTGAACCAAACAATATGTCCCCCGTTTGTAAAGAGAGAGAGAGAGAGAGAGAGAGAGAGAGAGAGAAAGAGAAAGAAAGAAAGAAATATATATAGACAGACTGGGATATATTCAACGTCGGGAAACGTTCGTTTGAAAGTAGAGGGTAGAGTCAACAGATTTTCTCCACCCCATAACTCCCTTTCCCTGTCCCTTCCTTCCCTCTCTCACTCTCTCTCTCTCACAGTTGCTTTTCCCTTGGAGATTCGGTCTGGTCTTTTCTCAATAAAATGATACGAGTCGACACCAAGTCCTCGTTGAGATTCGTCTTATTATCGGCTCGAAAATTGTCCTTAGAAAAGGAAGAAGAAGAAGAAGAAGAAGAAGAAGAAGAAGAAGAAGAAGAAGAAGAAGAAGAAGAGAGGAAGGAAGACAAATGGTAATAACGATGGTCGATTACAAAGAACAAGAATTGATATTAATCGCAGCCCTTGAAATCTTGATATCTGATCAAAGGGGAAGAAAAATATGATTTCTAACGAAGAATGAGAAAAGAAATGAAAGCAAGAAAAAAAAACGAAAGAATAAGATGGAAGACGCGTGGCAGAAAGAGGAGATAGCTCGAGGGAAATGGTGGGTTGGCTAAAAATTGGTACCCTTTCGCTCGCGGGTGCCTCTTGGCGGATGGTACTCGTGTAAGCAGCGACTAGTGAGGTAAACTCGAGTGTCTGCGGGGTGAACTAGGAAGAGAGAGAGAGATAGAGGTTACTACCACAACTACTACATAGGTGAAGAGAAGACGGGATAAACGGGGGAGGGAAAGGGTGTAGGTGCAAGGAAGAAAGTAGGAATCCCCAAGGGGATGCTTTTCCTCGGTCTGAGGCATTTCGTAGGCGATATCCTCCTAGCTCTACTCGCTGTCTACCTTCTTCTCTTCTACAAGTCTGTTCATCTTTCTCTATTATTATTATCTATCTTTCTCTTTCTCGTAGCAGCACACGGCCCTTCTCAAGCGTTCCTCCTTGTCGTCGTCGTCGTCGTCGTAGTCGCAGTCATCATCGTCCTCCTCCTTCTCGGCATATCCCTTCCCAACAAACGTACACACAGGGCACAACCGGCAAGAAGTAGACAATTCACAATTAGCAAACACAAACAGAAGTACGAGTGGCTTGAAGTTGCTTGGGACGCGGTGGCAACGGGCTTAGCCGGAAGCAAATGGTGGGGTAGGAGGCTTCTGGGATGCGAAGCGACTAGCTTGGCAGTCCCTGAGCGTCAGCCTCCGCTTCAGAATCCTCTTCTCTTTCTATCTCTCTCCTCTCTTTTCACGTACTCCTCACTCTTTCGGACCTAACCCAACAGAGACGACCGAAGGCACACGTACTCTTACATTTTCGGATAACGGGTGTACCCGTTCTTCGATGTATACCTTCCTACTTTACCTTTATTTTACTTACATTCTTTAACTCGCTCTTTTAGTTCCCCATTATTCCTCTCTTTCTCTATCTCTTTTGTTCAATTGTTGTGTGTTCGAGAAACGAACTACTACATCTTTGCTAACAATTCACTGATCCTTATAACATATTTAGTGTTTCTAATTCTTTACCTTTCATATTTGATTGTTGTCCTGAACTTATCAAGGTGGAAGAATTTTTAAAAATTTCCCTTTTTTTTTTTTTAGATATTTCTCTTTAGTTTTGAATAGCTTTTTTTTTTTCTTTTAACATGTCATGTAGAACGATTGTAAAGTACACCCGGTATACACACGCATCGGTCTCTCTCTCTTTCGTCGTTGCGTTGGAACACTCGAAGCCCCAACCAGTTACGGCAACAATAGGCTTTGTCTTCGCGCCGTCGGCGCTCGCAAATTGGTAGAAATCTTGATTAAAGGTGCAATTCCGCTGCTGCCTACGGACAAATATGAATTGCACCCCCGATCCTACCGTCCCTTTTCTATTTCTCTTTCTCTTTCTTCTTCTATTTCTTCTTCTGCTCCTTCGTCGTCGTCGTCGTCGTCGTCGTTGTCGACGTCGACGTCTTTCGCTGTCCCGTTGAAATGAAAATGGAAAAAATATGTTCCTTCTATGTTCCTTTTTTACCGATGCAACTCTTTCCAGTTTTCATGAAGAAAATATTCTAAACATAAAAACTCTGTCAAGTGTCAGAAAAAAATATATTTACGTTGATTGGTCAATTAGTAATGTCCAATTATTCGATATTTTATATTTAATCAAATAACACTTGTAATTATTAAATATTTCAAAAGTAAATTGTATACTCTAACATTACTTATTCTATCAACTTACTGCAAATTTTATGTACACATATTTATTGGCCATATTTAGCAAACAACAAATAAAAATTATATGCCATAAGTAAAAAGAAAAAAAAAAACATAAAATAAATATACAAAGTTTTTTTGTAATTAATATTAATTGTATGTACAAACACGTGCATGCTATTTTTATAAAGCATTCGAAGACTCTATGGGATGATATTATAAAAATGTAAAATTAATAAGCAATATAAATGATTATTAGTTAGATTCGTCATTAGAAGATTGTTATTAATATAATAGTGTATTTATTATATTAGTAGGAAAAAATCTACTTATTTTCTCATTTGTCGACCATCGTCGAGAACGTAATCCTATTGCGGGATTACTTGCCGACGTGTATCAACGTACTCGGCCATGTCCGTCGCAGAAATCGGATGTAGGGAAATATAGTATAGAAATGGAATAATAATGCATTGTATATGACAGATGCGATCAAACCTCTTGCAATAATCCGTGTATTAGTCTCTACTGCGATACCAAAATCTATGACCAAGCAACATACATTTATATGTGTATATTATTTTATATATAAAAGAAATTTCTCTGTAACTATGATCACATTATAACGTGGGCAAATATATTTAATGTGTATGTGTGTTGTTTGTGGATATTTTTGGTTACAAGGGAAATAACAAAAGAATTACACTAAATACATCATTCGAGGTGTTAATACGGCGATAATATATTCTAATCTAATAGAAATATATAAATAATTCAATATTATTTATATTTATCTAATTTGGTGAATATTTAAATATAGAAATATTCAATAATTAATAATACTTACAGTTATGTGCTATAAATAAATACTAAATTTGTTTTAAAAGGAACCAAATTAATTTCTACATCTAATATAACTTAATTTTTACAATTATGTTATAATTAATATACATATAGAATAAATGAACTTAAAAATAGTTCAATTAATTGCAAATTCATTATAGTAACATTCGATAGATGTTTTTTTCATACTAAGTTTTTCTTTAATATTACCACCAATATTGCCAAATTTCTATTTATACAGTAAGACACGCACACATATATTTTGAAAGATCAAACGCAACATAAATCCATGTATCCTGTGCAAAGTAAGTAAATATACACTACAGCATTGAGTCAATTTACATAATGATAATCGAAACATACATCTAGGTATGAAAAGCTCTATTTAAATGCTTGGAAACATCTTCGAAAGAATTATTCACAAATTGTTAGTATTGTTTTCTATTTTTTTAAAAAACATAAATTTCAAACTTTATTTTTCATGCTTCAATGCAATCATTTCTTTTTCATGCTTTCATGTTTTATATTTACAAAAAAAAAAAAATATTTGCGTTTATGTGTAATTATTTTAATTTAATTAGAGATAAATTATACAAATTTGATTTGCAGATTAATTTTAAATTATGAAAATTAATTTAATAGAAATTTATATCACGTTATCTTGAAAATGTGAGTAGTGTCATCTTTTATAAATATAATATTATTTAAAAATTATCTGTAGATGATCACAAGGCATTAAAATAGAAGATAAAACTGTATTTTATCAATTCGTGTCACACGCAACATTATCGACAAATTTGGTAATGGTATTAGAAAAGAAAAAGTATTAAAAATTTTATTTCTAATTAAAATTTAAATTCAATTATGTACTAATATGAATGTTAATTAATTTTTTTATTTGCTACTATATTTATCTTCGGTGCAGTGTCGATAAAGAAGGTCACGATCTGAAAATAATTACATTATATTAGATGCGTGGGTTGATCATTGTGGCATTGGCGTCACATTGCCTTGTAAGGCATTTTGTGTTAATAAGTTATCATTCTTTTATTAAAACACTTGTCCTACATTTATTATAATTAAAAATAATATTTGAGTGAAACTAAAAGTTCTTTTTTAACCATGATTTAAAGAAAACACAAAATTGAATTATAGGACAAAATTACTGTGCAATCAAGGTAACAAAGAAAACATTTAAAAAATTAAAGTGTATAGACTGATATTAATATATATTGACATTTCAGAAACAACGCATATTTAAATCAGTGTGCTGTAAATGAGCTTTAACATGTATACGATGGATAGTTGTTTGCCTTATATTCTAACTGGTAGTATTTTTTATGGATTTGGATTGAAATGGTGTTATGAATATGCTAAGTTCTGGATTTCATTAAGACCGAAGGAGGACGAGTCCATGACAAAGGGTATTAGATTTTGGAAGAAATGTAAACGAGTATTTACCAATCATCCATTAGAAGGTAGTCTTAAGTTAATAGCAACAGCAATAGGTTTGTTCGGTACTCTAACAAGCGGTTTGTCAGATGCTGGAGTAGTATCTCATAAAGTTGTCCACGCAACCATGTATCTATTCTTTGCATTCTCTGGTCTGGTGGACGTTTTAAATTTTTATTTTCCTCATAACATAAGCGATGGATTAGTCAAAATGGCTTTGGCACAAAGCTTTTTTGTCGAAGGATTTCTTTTTGTTTGGGCCATTTGTGATGAAAGTTCAGCGGTTAACATAATTTTAGCAGGTATCGTTTGGACAACATCTTTTGCTATTACCTTAGAACTTGTATGGCCAGAAATCAAACTTTTAAGAGCTTGCACAACTCTTTTACACGGTGGATGGATATTTCACATGGTTCGTATGTATCGTGTAGAACCACTCTTACCTGCTAGGGTTGTTTTAGCCTTCTCCTGGCATATAGCAGCTGCATCTGCTATAACTTTGTGTATCGTCAGCATTACAAGATCTTGTGCGCCAAAATTAGTAGTTGAGGAACCACCTGAAATACCAATTTATGATTATTGTCAAGAACCAGACCAAAGAATATAATTGGATCATTTAATGGTGTAGTGATATTGAACACTATAGGTCTTCAATCGTCAGGTAGTGAGATTTTTATACAATTATATATTATCAAAAGATAGACTCGTAGTAAGCGTAATCATACTTATTGCTATTATACATGAGATATTGTACAGCGTAGTACAATTTATTTCTTTAAATTCATTTTATACGCAATAATAATAGTATTAGTACAATACTGCAATAATATTATAACTAATATCTCTATACAATACTCAAAACATTAATCAACGATGATACCAATTCAAATAAGACTGTGCCTTATGATATTTGTTATATTTATTAACGTATTAGGAAACTATACATATATATTTACTATATTTATAATTATTTATACACTATTTTTTACCTTTTATTATGTGCCAAATTTATACCATTAGAATTTGATACACGAATATTGTATTTCTAATTGTAAGAATCAATTTTTTTAATATATGACGTAATATACTAACTCAACTTTAGCGGTTTTTTACTTTATGAGTAAATTAATTGTTTCGTATACGTTCGATTTTAAATATGGCGCTGCAATGATATCAAGCCTTGTTCACAATTACTTGAAAATAATATTTCATTTATTTCGTAAATATCAAAGTCCTCATTTATTAAATAATAATAAATTATAATTAGTATTTATTATTGTAAATAAATTAACTGTAAAAATATAATAAATTCGATAAATATATATCGATTTAGATAGAATTGTCCAGTCGGAAATAAACTGACCAATAGGAAGAGACTTCTTACGTAGCACAATGTGTCCAATGAAAACACTCCTAAATTGTAAGAATCAAACCGGCTGAACCCAACCCTGTGATATGTAAGGAACGTAATGTGTCATTTTTCACGTGTTAACATATATTTTTAGTAAAAGGAGGAGATTGTTGAAAAAATCATAAGGATATAAAGAAGAAGAAGGATTCAAAGTTTGTTATCCTTTTGTAATAATGGTAAGATATTTTTTAAAATAAATTTTAACGATAACAAAATATTCATTGCAATATATCTAAAAAGAATATACTTTATCAATAAGACAGGATGTATGTGGTTGCTTCAGTATCTCTTATTTATGATAACTTTATTCTACTTTATATTGACATTATATTACATGAAATAATTATAAGAATAAAAAAATATGTTAAACATTAGAAAGTAAAAGGAACTGCAATTGTTGAATAAATGTTTAAGTTAAATTTTATTAAGTTCTTTTTTTTTTTTTAAATGTATTTGTTTTTTTACATTACAGTCTGGAACGTTGAAACCTTATCTCATGGCGGTGAGACGTACTCTCACTGCTGCAATGTGTCTTGAAAATTTTTCTTCCCAAATAGTAGAGAAGCACAATAAACCCGAAGTAGAAGTTAGAGCAAGTAAAGAACTTTTGTTAACGCCTATATTGATCAGCAGAAACGATAAGGAGAAAGTATTAATAGAATCAAGTATAAATAGTATGAGAATAAGTATCGCCGTTAAACAGGCAGACGATCTGGAAAAGATTCTCTGTCATAACTTCACAAGATTCATGACTATGAGAGCGGAACATTTTATGATACTTAGGAGAAAACCTATAGAAGTAAGTATATTTCAAATTATATTAGCTTGTCTGACAATTTTGCACAGTTTTTTTTTTTTTCTAAATAACTGCAGTGGCAAAAACTGTGTAGACTTATCAAACAACCTAATTCAATATTATATTAATTAGATTTTATTTTGCAAAGATAATTTTGTTATTTATTTCTTATAACAGGGTTATGACATTAGTTTTCTTATCACAAACATTCATGTAGAACAAATGTATAAACATAAGATAGTAGACTTTGTGATTCATTTTATGGAGGAAATTGATAGAGAAATCAGTGAAATGAAACTTTCTATGAATGCCAGAGCTCGTATTTGTGCGGAAGAATTTTTAAAGAGGGTTAGTATAAATATATTATCTCTACATTAGTACGATAATTGTAATATGTTATCATTAATTATATTTAATATCATTTTATTTTCAGTTCTAATCCATAAAGTGCAGATTGTTATGGATAAGTGTCTATAAACGAAAGGCAGTGAAAAGAGGATGCAGTAAAGAAATTCTCTCCGATAACCAACATTAGAAAAAGAGATCATGAATGTTATAATAATTTACTCAAGATGGTCCCTCATCTAACTAAAGTATCTTAACCTTCGATTCAATTTCATTCAACTAAATTCCATCGAGTCCAAATGTACTTGGAAATGTAAATGATAATTCTGACATAAGATTGAGCGTAAGTATCAAAGACATTTGATCGGTTATTTATTGTAACGAAGGAAATTAAGAAAGGATTTTGAGTAAGGGAAAAACAAAACAAAAAAATAGATCAATGTATATGAAATAAAAAGAAAGAACTTGAAAATGCTTCTTGGAAGAAGCGACAGACAAAGCTGCGAAGAAGATTTTTAGACTGGTTTAATCTCAGAATCAATAAATGTTACATCGTCTGCCTGCATTGTATATTTTTTACAATAATACATTTAAATAGGTAATTATTCCTAGATTATAGAGACATCGATTTAACATTAAAAAAAAAAAACATTCTTCCAAACTTCTTCTACTATCAGAAGAATTATTGAACATAGATTATCGTGTTAGTTAATTAATATAAAAAAAAAAGAAAAAAAAAAACAACTTTCTGTACACTACTTGTAATTTTGTACCGTTAAGTATCGTATTTGTCGTCATCGTCGTTTAAAGACGAGGAAGAAGCTATTATGAATTATGACATAGTTAGATTGAAAAATTGCACTAAATAATGGAAAGATATAATATTTACCGAGCGGGTTCCTTTGACGCACGATCCTGAAGAAAAAAAGACTACGTGTGTTGATACGTTAGCATACTTAAATATCAATAAAGAAAATGAACGTCCACCGATAATTATATTCTAATTAAGCGTCAATGAACTGCCAAACATTATTTAGTATAACAGAAGGAAGGGACTGTATAATTATAATTATTCTAATAACACAAATACACTCACATACATACATACACATACACACTTTCATACAAACCGCGATAAATACTAAAGAGTTAACACAAAAATCGTTAATTGTATTTATTGTAATTAACAATGACGACAACAAAAAAAATGAACTCTTTCATTTGAATATCGCGTGAATAAGATTTAATGCAATAAGGGATATTTATTATCCACTTACAACAATTAATCCAATGTATTTTCTTTACGTTTTATTTTTTCCCGCCATTGTCATTGCCACTTCTACCACTTTCGTTTTAATTTCTAAATTTTGTACTTTTAAGCTATATAAATAATTTGGTTTTCGTCATTGAGTTTGAAATTAAAAAAGGCATATGACTAGGCGTATTTTTTTTATCAATAAATCTAATATGTATATTATTTAATTGTTAGAAATAGAATTTATTGCGCGTTGATCCACACAAAGTGGATATTTAAAAAATGGGGTTAATATTTTTAACAATAGATAAAAATAGAAGGAACGAAAAGAAAATGATTTAAATTTTTATTCGCTTTTATTTAATTTTATTATAATAACAAGTTACTTTTTACGTACAAGTTCAACTTGTTCCTAACCTCAGTTCTTTATTTTTATAATTTGTATTAATTTTATTTAGTTATTATAATTAATAAGATTTCAACGACTAATGTAAATAAAAATAAACGATGTGAATCGATAATAATATTTGTATCGATTATTTTTAAAAGAGACGCCTTAACGAAGGCAACACTTTGTACCAAGGTATCTTTTTCGAATGCTGGAATCCATCACGTTCGCGGTGACTCCTATTTCCATATTGGTGGAAGGGTGTAGATAGGAGAGGTTCTCGTGACCAATCAGGCGTTGACTTCGGTCAGTGTCGATTCGCGAATTTTCCGAACACGAACTCTCCCGAAGATAACTCGAAACGTTCGCGCCTTTTCTTTCTCTCTCTTTCTCTTTCCTTGAACGTGACGGTGTGACAGTCGACACGTACAAGGACATATACACGTGCATGACACGTACGGGTATTTGCAACGCGAGAAAGCTTAGTATACTCTTGTCAATCTCGCGTATTTTCTAAAGACTTACAGTAGAATGTCTCGCATACGCGAAAAGGTAGTTTATAATGGAGCGCGCGTCTAGTGGACATATTTGAATTTGTAAGAAGGGTAAGTGGATAACGGGTCGAGACTGTCAAAGATTAAACTTCGTTTGGTTACTCCTAGAAGAATTTCTAAGAAATTTTACAAGTATTTGACAAAAGGAAAAAATATCGTACGATCATTTGTACTAATCAATATTGTTCTACTAATTACTATTATTGTTATTAGATATATATGTACGAAATGAATATCGAAAAAAATGATTAAAAAAAACAAGATGGAGTCAATATCAAATTCGTGAACACGATTATCGATTAATATCAAGAATTTTCATTCAAAACGATCATTGATCTTTTTTCAAATTAAATATATAAACACTTTTCAAACGAAATTTACATTGAAAATAATTATTTATATAATAACAGATACATATACGTGTATACATAATTATTGTTTCAATTTCGTTCGCGTCAATTTGCATAGAATAAAATTCGACCAATCAGAGTTGAGAATTTGATTTGTACGATTCAAATTATGGATATGAAAAACCAAATACTTTAGTAAGGAAAAAAATAAAAAAAGGAGTGTTCTTTCAAATCATTCGTTTTAAAAGCGAGTGTTCGTGGTTTCGAAGTCGGCTCGAGAGTCTAATTCTTAACGCAAGTCCCCAAAAATACTCGAAGGAACGAAGAAGAAGAAGAAGAACGGTGAGGAAAAGAGTCATGTTCGTTGGTATCAGTAAACGAACAACGTACCGAGGGATGAAGGGAGAGAGAACAATTCTTCCTAGTGATTAACGTATAAAGAAGCTTTTCTTTTGACCGATATCATTTCTTTTCTCTTTCTTTCTTTCTATTACATCACGTATATATATTTACGTATTTTCCCTTCATCCCTCTCTCTTTCTCTCTCACTCTGTTACACGTGACGTATCTTTCTCTTTTCATCCCTCATTCTTTCTCTCTTTTATATATACATATTGCTACTCATATATATATCTTTTGTTCATTCTTTTCTCTCTTTCTCTCTTTTTAACGTATACATACACAAAGCTACATACACATTATACGTCATACATCTCATCTACGTAACTTTCTCATTTTCATCCCTCTTTCTCTTTCTTACACACACACACACACACACAACACTTACATATATTTTTCTCTGTCTTACATGTCCATACAGAGTCATAGTCTCGCATATATACATATAAGCAAATTGTTCATCCTCATCCCTCCGACAATCTTGACTTTCTTTTTCTTTCATCGACAACTATGATGACGATGACGATAGTTGTATTGGTGGTGGTGGTGGCGGCGGCGGCGGCGTCGGCGTCGAGCTTGCGCGACGCCTCGTGCTTTTTACGCCGACGCCGACGCAGCGGCTGTAACTCGGAGTCGGCGTAGTCTGGGACCTGGCGTCTCCCGATCGGGAACGGGAAACGAGAAGGAGCCGAGAGGAAGAAGAACAAGAGTCGTCATCGTCGACGCCGTCGAGGCAGAGCCTACTACTCGAGACCACGACCATACATAGAGAAAGACAGAGAGAGAAAGAGAGAGAGAGGAAGACAGAAACAGAAACAGAGAGAGAGAGAGAGAGAGATAGATAAATAGATAGAGAAAGGGCTAGGGAGGGAGTAAGAGAGGGAGGCAGAGACAGAGATTCGCGCACGTAAGGGTTACTCATTAGAGGAGAAGGGTAGTGGGAGAGAGAGAGAGAGAGAGAGAGTGTGAGGAGAGGGGTGGGGTGGGAGAAATAGAGAAAGAAAGACAGAAACAGGTGCATAGGTAGAGATAGATAGACAAACGAAGAGAAAGACAAAGATAAATATATATATATATAAATATAGAAAGAGAGAAAGAGAGAGAGAGAAAGACAGAAAAAGAGAAAGAGTCTTGCGTGCGGTACGAGAAAACAGAGAGAGGGCCTAAGTCGAGAGTTAGGAGTTGTGGCTCGCGTTAGATAGGATGCGTGTGCCTGGGTGCGGTGTCCCACCACCACCCGACAATCAAAGGTTCACCAACGACGAGGACGATAACAAGGAGGAGGAACGCAGCATCACCTTACACCAGACTACTACTACTATTACTATTACTACTACTACTACTACTACTACAACTACAATTACTGTTACTAATACTACTACTGCTACCAACGTTTATTATTATCAGGGGAAAAACGAAAACTTTGACGAGAAGAATAAACATAAGCGTGGTAACAACAATAACAAGGCAGAGGACGGTGCGTCGTTCACCGGGAGATTGTTAACACTGTCGGATTTGATCGTTTTGAGAGACAGCATACTAGTCGTCGTCGTTGACGGCGAGAAAGAGGAGGAGGAGGTGGTGGTGGTGGTGGTGGTGGTGGCGGTGGAGGAGGAAAAGAAGAAGACGAAGAAGACAACAACGAGAAGGAGACGTCGTCGTGGTGAAATCGTTAACGCACATCTTGGTGTTGTCCTTCTTGCATTATTTTTCGTCAATTTAAATAGGACATCTTTTTGTAAGAAATTCAATCACGTCAGTGTATTAAATTCGGATCGTTTATTAGACTTTACCGTTACCGTTACCGTTCCAATAATCTTATTCGCGTAGCCCGGTTCTGACAGTCGCGTTCCGCGTTCGCGGTTCGCGATCCACGCGCGCTTTGCGGCTTTAGCCGCGGCGTCGCGACGGCCACGACGCTACTCGCCGAAAATTACGAGCGTCGTCAGCAGCAGGAACCTTCCTCAATCCTAGCTGACTTCCTCATTCAACCAGAAGCTGCTATCAGCCGGCTTCAACCTGGACCGCCACCGTCCTCCCACCTACTCATGTTCATCCCGGATACCCTGAGGAGCTGCATGGTGGAACCGGATGTCTCGACTTACCTGCAGGCCCCTTCCGTAGGACAGGTGTGTGTTTTTTCATTCATTTATTTTAACTTTCATCTTCTATCTTGTAAACTACCTTTTTTTATCTTTCATACTTGCATCACTTCTCGTTTTGTATATATTCTTTTTTCATTTTTATTACTATTATTATTATTTTATTGGATTAGTGTATCTTGTCTCGTTGCAATCTAGTATAATATGTCGATAATTATTCCCTAACACGGCACCCCCTTTCGTTGTCAAGAACACGTGCGAATCACGAGCGCGTGTCGCGCTGCCATCCAACAGCCATACTCGGATCCTCGTGCTTTTAACCCTTCTAACCATTCTTACCTGTATTCTATCGATATTTTTGATTAATTATTAAATCATTCCT